GTTGGGGGGGGAGGGGTGGGCATTGTTTTTGGCTTTGGTTCAGGAATTTCTTTGATTTCACAGCCTGATAGGAATGGGAGCAAATCAGAGGTCGGTGTCATTCCTGGTGGGAGGGATGTGACTCAGCGGCACAGGCTCGCTGAAGCAGTGGAGGCAGCGACGTTGGGTACCACCAGCTCCCAGTGAAGGGTGCGGATCATGGGGGCTGTCCAGCTGCACAGTTAACATAGTCCTCTGTGGTCAACTGTAGGCTTTGGGTGGATCCGAGGGTGGCTCGCATCTGTGCACTCTGTCAGGCTGCCTAGATACTGGCAGCAAAGGTCAGTCCTGAACTTTGAGGATCTGGATTTGATCCTTCTTGAGCCTGGCTGGTGCTTTTATTAAGGATTTGTCTGTGAGATTATTTCAGCTGTGAGATAATGGTATGAACATAGTCTGATTTGCACTTCCACCTTGTTTGCTGCTGCTGCTTTTTTCTTCTTGTTGTTGCTTTTTCTTTCTTTGAAGAGGCTTGTAGTGAATTACAAAAAGAGGATTTTAATTCAGGAGACCTTGATGACTTATTATGCCTTATTGCTCCTTAGGCATGGAGTACAGCTTGTTCTTTTTTCTTCCTCCACTTGTTTATCTCCCACATCTCCTCCTCCATCACTACCACTCTGAGGTAAATCACAAGAACACTCCTCCATTACAGAACGGCATGGTTCTTTTTCAAGTGATTCACTCGAGCAGGAGTGGGCAAACATGCTTTCATCTTTTTTTTTTTTTCTGCTACTGTTTGTTGGCATAAAGTACCAAGTGGCCCAAGCACATTTCACAGATGCTGGAAAATGTTGCTCTTTCTTTATGTGGACGGTCAGGGACAGATTTGTCCTTCATGCAGTGAAGTCAGTGAAAGTTCATACGGAATGGATACGCTTTTGCAGTATTTTGATCATATATCCCAAGAGTACAGTGATGGCAAATCTTTGTGCTGTCTGTCCTAAATTTGCTTTGGAAAGCTGTGTAGCTCATGGTGGTTGGTTTCAGTCCAGCCCTCTGGAAGTGACAAACTTGCGGCAGGGCCGGTGGCTGTGCAACTGTGGATAACATCATCTCCCTTGGGCTGGGATGTCACCAGATTGCTGAGTGCCAGCTGCTGTTTTCTGGGAAGAACCTCTCTGTTGATACTTGGGAACTGGGCTTTAAGTTCAGGTCTCTCTTGTTGAAGTTTTGGAGGTGTTTTGGGTGCCCTTTGCAAACATTCTCAGCAGAGATGCTGCTCTTCTGCCATTGCTGTGGGCACTGAAGCCGCAGAGGGAGCAGGGCAAGCAAGCTGCTGCTCAGAGCTTTGCCTGTCAAGTGCAGCGGGGTGAAGGACACGACAGACCCTAAGGGGTGGTCCTGGGGCAGAGCTAACCCCGCTGGGCTGCAGGAGGGCTCGCATGTGCTGGCATGAAGCACTCGTGACACTTGCCCACTGTATAGCAAGAGCAAGAGTGTTCATCCCTCTGTGGAGTGAAAGGCAAAATACAGCCATATCTGTCCTTGGCCTGTCTGTGTCCCCGTGTGCTGCAGGCACTGCAGTCAGGGCAACCCAAGGGGCTTTCTTCTGCCAGTGGTCATGATGGGAGGGGGCAGGTAAGGATCACATCAGCTACATGCTTGGCTTTCAGTCTGTGCTAAGGGACTGCAGGCATCCAAGCTGCAAATGGGGAACTCCTTGAGGAGGCTTCTCATCAGGGAGGGCTGGAAACCACTGATGCCAGACCAAATCAGCTATGCCCAGGGATCTGTATCCATGGGCTTTTGCTGCCGTTGGTATTCAGATCAAGTATCACCAATTCCAGTCTCAGCCTTGAACTTCTCCTGGGATATCAAACGTACCAAAGCTCCCTGAGGACTGACAAAAGCACAGCACAATTTAAAATGTAACATTAAAGCAAGTGAATCCCCTGCTGTATGTATTTCAGCTACCTTCAAGTTTGCAGCTAGCTGGTTGTCACCTGTGCATACTTCACTCACTGGGACCACGTCCTTCCTCTGTGCTGTGCTTTAGGGTCTGGTTTGCTGTATTACAGAAAAACTGAGAGCCAGGCTTTCATTTTGTCATGCGTATCCTCGAAACAAAATTGTCAGCTAGAGCCTGCTTGTGGAGTATTTACTGCTGGGGCTGAAAAGAGGCAGGATAAACACGGCTTGAGATCCCCATCCCAAGATGAGTTTTCAGCACCAGCAGCTAGAAAAACCATCCTCAGGCTGTTCACTGAGCAAGCTCACAGCGGAACAAACACAACCCCCCACAATGTCATTGTGGCGTCGCTTCTTCTGACAATCACTGCTCTTTGACTTCTAATTATGTCTGTCTTTGGCTTACCGCTTTCTGGGTTTGCTGTTGGTCTCCTACCAGGCAGCAGTGGCTGGTGAGGGAAGCATGCCCCCCGATACCCTGCCCAGGCTGCACAGGGCACAGCTGTGGCACAGCTGGCTGCGCACGCGGAGGGCGCTGCTGCGAGACCCCGCTCCTGTGGGCATGGGGCTGAGAGCCTGCCAAGCACTGCCAAAGCCAACCGGCAGCACGTGAGACACTTGTTGCAAGCGGCTGCAGAATATAATATAATGGTGTTTTCCTCTTTGAACAGATGGCAGGAATTACCTGCAGCTGCAGAGCAGCAGAAGGAGGGAAGGTCAGCGAGCCCGTCTCATCAGCCCCACCATCTACCTGCCCCGGAGCGCTGTCTGCATGGTCTTCCAGTACCAGGCGTGGGGCAGTAACGGGGTGATGCTACGGGTCTGGCGGGAAGCCAGCCAGGAGCACAAGGCGCTGTGGGTCATCACAGAGGACCAAGGGGAGGAGTGGAGGGAAGGCCGCATCATCTTGCCGAGCTACGACACGGAGTACCGGGTAAGATGCTCAGGGGAGGTGTGCCGGGCCATGCCGTCGTCTCTAGCATCTCTGTTTCAGTGTTTCAGAGCCAGGGCCCATTCGTCATTAGGGAATGTGGCTGTTTTCATTGTGTTTCTCGAGTTACTATAGTAACTAAACGACACTGTTTGTTATTCAGAGAGTGACTGTCTTCTGCACAGACTTGAGCCTTTGTTCAGCCTGTTGCCTTTTATATTCCTCGAATCTCCCACTTTGGAAATATTTTCCTTTTTTTTTTTTTCATTTTGTTTTGTGTATTTTCCCCCCAGCTGATGGTCATCAGATAGTCTGACCAGAAGCAAGTGTGCAGCTGCAGGGGGCAAACCCAAACCCTGCAAGCGGGAAGCTGGGAGGGGGCATGGGTAGACAGCAACAGCCCTTCTCCAGCCTTGGCTGTAGGTGCTGCCCTGGGAGAAGGAGGATGGAACGCAGGTTCGTTTGTGAATACGCTTCTGGGACACCTTACACCAGACCAGAGGGCTGGGCGCAGCACTGGTGGGACCAAGGCCGAGTCCTACTGTCAGGAGATAAGTGTAAGAGAAGGGATGAGCCGGAGAGAGCTGTGCTGCTCTCCACAGCCACCCGAGCCTCTCTGGCAGTGCCAGTGCCCTGTGGAGAGGCTACTGCTTCTAGGAGTGCCTTTGGCGTGGCTAGTCCTTACTGGCAGCGTGCCGTTTGCCACAGAGCCAGGGCTGCTGTTGACACTTGCTAATGAGCATCAGCATGGCATCCAGCACCCTCAAAGCAGAAGGAAACACTCACTCTCAGGCTTTGCTGATCACCCCGCAGGGAACCTTGCTCTGGCTGGCTCCCAGCCCTGACCCAGGCAGCTGCTGCTTTCAGGCTACTGACCCTTCCTAAGTGCTGCCTCCTGTGTGGGTTGATGGCTCGAGCTTGGGACCAGTAGCTCTGATACTCCACCCTGTGCAGACACACGGCCCTTCAGGGAGGTCTCCTTGCAGGCAGGCATAGGGTCAGGCTGCCCAGCCACCCCAGAGGAAGGGGGGACCCAAAATGGGGAGACAAAATTTGTGAAATACAAAGCCTTAGGAATTTATTTGGACTCTCAAGAGGAGTCAGGGAGATAGCAAAAGCTTTGCACCAGAGCTGCGTGACTAGTTAGCTTGTGTATGTTTGGCTTTCTAATAAAACAGCAGTAAATGCAATATGCCTACAGATAAGAATGATGGGCAGTGGCTGACTACTTTGTACGTTAAACGTGAATATACCAGCATTAGCTAAATAACAGCATCATTATGTAAATAATGCCAGTCTCTCCACTCAGCAGTTCTTAGAGCTAATGACTCTATTTATTTTTGTAAATATATTTTGCCTCTGATTAAGTAGGAATAAATTGACCCTTCTCCTCTAACATTTCAATACTTCTTATGTAATGTTGATGGGAACAGCACTTTACAGTTAATGTAGCTGTGCATTTTGTGTCTTTCCCTTCCTTTTTCTGATCATAGCCCAGTTAATACTGTGGGCCAAATCTGCTGCTGCTCTATGTCAGTGTTATGCCACTTGCATCATTTGTGCAAGTGCTGGAAGGTGGCCTGCCATGCTGAACATTGATTCACTAAGTCTTTACTCCATGCTACAGATGTTTAATTGAACAAATTGCAAGCAGAGTGCTGCCAGGCCAGGTAACGATCTTTCTG